AGCAATTTGCGCCGCTGGGCTTGTAGTACAAGCCATGCAAACACCCCTTTTGCACCTTTCACATATCCACTAACCCTTCTCTTCTGGCAAAAGCTTGCCTGGGTATTGCCTAAACACTCTCGGCTCTTTTGATATGATGATTGAAATGTTTGTTGATCAAATTGAATGATTCATTCGATTTAATGAAACAGTTTATGAACAAATTAGTTGTGAATCAGAATGGCTTTTTTCAGAGATTAATGATACTAACATGTTTTCATCTGTACAAGGTGGATCCAGATTAGGATTCAATGATAAAGATGAGTTTGATGATGATGAGGTAGTTTGAGTATTAGTTGATGGTGGAAAGTTGATTTGATGATGGTCGTTGTTCATTGAAATCGATGGTAATGGTTTGATGCTTGATGGATTTGAAGTTGAGATTGGTAAACAGGAAACTTGGAAATTGAAAAAGTTTGATAAACTGTTCTGATGCTGTGAAATGAAATCAATCAGTTAAAGAATCTGATCAAAATTCAAATTCAAGCTTTAAGCCTGGGTTTATGTACCCAAGTTCTCATTTTAGGAGTTACAGCCGTTGTGAGAACTATTGGTAAGTTTTGAGGTGATGGGTGTCACCTAGTTTTAACTAGAGTTTAATCTTTGGTCCAAAACTCAGTTTTTTTCAATCTCACAGGCCTAAACCTCGTTTTGGCTCCTGCAATGTGCTTCTATCTCACGGTACTCATGGTCAAAAAGGAGTTTTTTCCAGTTTTTGGCAGTTTTGAATTAAATCTCGACACAACACAAAATAAAAAAAAGTTACTGTTAGTTCTCACAACGGCTGTAAAGTGTAGCAGGGCTACTGCTACGGGTATTGAAACATACCAAAAAGGGACTAACCTAAGCCCATTATACAGTATCCGAAACTGGGATTACTATATGTAACTAGACTAGCCCCTTAACTCCTACTTTGTATTACCGCCATATCCTGCGCCACAACCAAATGCCACGGAATGGCTATTGCAATCTGGCCTAGGGCTATGACCCGGCCCTGCAACTGCGGGGACGGCCCCGGGTCCGGGGCAGACCCGACCTCGGACACGAGTTGTTTGAGATAGCTACCGGGCAACCTCGGGCTGGCCCTGTCTCGGGCCAGCCTTTTGTGAGCTAATTCAAGGGCACAATTCATTCAATTCCGCATGTAAGGAGAGGAAAAAAAAAAAAAAAAAAAGACCAAACAAAGGAGCATATAGAAATAAAGAACAAGTAATACCAATAAGGAGAGTAGAGAAAATATATAAAAAACAATCATGAAGGAGAGTCGAGAAAAAAAACTACGAGCTCAAAACAAACCCCCACAACTTGAGACAAATCTGAGCTTTGAAATTTTGATTGGTCATACTTGATCAATAATCAGACATCACTCTTGATCCAGCAGAGAAGATTCTTTCTGAAGGCCCACCAGAAGCAGGGATGGCAAGCATGAACCGAGCCATCCGAGCCAAAATTGGCCAGTTCGTGTGATTGGTCTTCCAAAACACTAAGATATCTGTATGTTCATCCACAAGAGGGGCAAGGAGATACTCCCTTACTTCGTCTTCAACTTGAATGAATTTGTGACGTTTGATAAAGTGGTGTGGTCTATCATCATCATTGTCGAGCACAGGGTCCGGTTCAACAACTTTGATATCAGGATCTTGAGGCTTCTTGAATTTGCGAGCTTGCTCGGTAAAGTATTCAATGAGTTGGCCCTTGTCGAATCCAAGCTCTTCCATGGTAAAACCAGTCACAGCAGTGAGCTTTTGGTGAGGGTCCAGAATCGGGGAACATATGTAAACAGGTTTTTTCAAAGCTAAGGTGGAATAGCGGACTAGTTTCTTGACCATAGGGATAATTGCTGCCTTCAAGTTTGTACAGTCAGAAGTACTCCATGCCTATGTTTGGTAGAAAGATGAGTCAGACATTGTATAAATATAAAGTAATTAATATGAAAAGAAAAGAAAAGAAAAACTTACTTTTTCGAGCTTTTCTACAAGCCATTGATAGTCAGGCATTGCTCGTGAGAAGGTGGGATAGTCATCGCCTTCAATTTCCTTGATCACGATTGCCAGAGGTCGGAGAAACTTGACTAAGGTGCTGATCAAGATCCACTCGTCTTTGGTCAGGAGGTAAGGCTCCAACAATTCGTTAATGTTGCAATAGTACTGAAGGACCATCTTGAGTGCAAAGAAACGCTCGAGAGAGTAAAAGGTTGAAGACCATCGAGTCGAAACCTCGTGGATCAATCCAACCTTTTGAGGCTGTGAGGAAGAGGCAATGCATTGGTCCAGAGCCTGTTTGAGCTGAGTGCTCAAACGGACTTTTTTATGGAAGCCGCGGATTCGAGTTAAGATGGAGTGGACTTCGAGATGAGGAGTAGGTTCGATTAAAGAATTGGTACCGTCAGGAACATCATTTTCTTGATCTTGAGGTAGCTGAGGATCCAAAAAAGCGCTGAGAGGATCCGGAGGGCTCTTGCTGTCGAGTATTGATATTCCAGCTTTGGCGACGAGATTGATGACGTGGGCCACGCACCCGTGGAGGTTCTTCTCAGGATCAAAATGAGGAATGAGGTTCTTGAGCTCGCGTCCCATGGTGAGATTGTTTGAGGCATTGTCAGCCGTGATACAGTAGAGTCTGTTGGTGATTCCGAATTGATCAAGGGTGTGCTTGAGGAGGGAAGCAATGTTTTTACCGGTATGAGCCCCATCAATCTCTTTCAAAGCCAAAACCACTGATTGCATTTGGAATTCCTCGGTCATCCAGTGCGCGGTAATTCCAAGCATTGGTACACTGCTGGGTGATGTCCAGGCATCACACGTAAGACTGATATATGCAAATTTAGAGAAAAGGGAATTGAGACTATTGCGAGATAGACAAAATTGAGCAAGGATATTATCGGTGATGGTGGTTTGTTTGCAAAGGATAGGAGCGACTGCAGGATTGATCCAGACCAAGAGATCACGGAAGGCTGGGGCATCAGCAAGAGATACTGGGAGTTCTTGGTTGACGATAAGGCGTATAACGGCGTCAGTGAGATTTCGCCTGTTAAGACTTCCCATCTTGACAAATAAAAGTGAACAAGAATTAGCCAGATTGATAATCAGAAGAAAAAGATTAGATATAAAACTTACGTTAGAAGCCTTTCCAGTAACTGGAAAGGAAGTAAGTGTTTGTTGAGCTGTGTCGATCGGAGCTACGATGTGGTGAGCACGTGAGAGGTGACGAATCATGGATTTGGTGCTGGAAGTGGGATCGACTGCCATCTCTGCTTCACACACTACCACAGGTCCATCTTGATTGACGTTGTCAGTAAAGCCTTTGTTGGCACGGCATATGTTCCTGACCGATCCGTCGGGGAATGTGACAGTCAAAAAGTACTGCCACACCCATGACGTTCGGTTGGTGGCAGTAGTCTCCGATTCGACTGCACTAGCCACAGCAGAGACAGAATTGGATGGGGCGATAGAGTTCGCAGCGCTGGAGGTAGTCGACATGTTGTTGTTGGGGTCAGTGATCTCGCGGCGAAGACTTCGACAAGACATTGAGAGGTGGTTTATGAAGGGGGATTGGGTATTGCCAATCGGGTATCTACTATCAGGGTCCAGAGTCCAGGGTGCAAGGGTACGGCAAAGGGTAGATGGTCACTCAACAAGCCCTTGACCCTTTGCCGTACATAAACATTTGGCCCCGGCCCCAGCCCCAGACGGCCCGTGGCAGGGCTTTTGTCTCTATCACTGGGTTAGGGCTCAGGCCCCGGGCGTGGCCCCGGTTTGATCAAGAAAACCCTTGGGCAGACTCGGCCGGGCAGGGCCAGGGCCGGGTCATAGCCCTAATCTGGCCCAGTCCATAGAAGGCGATAAACCTGATTTATTAATTGTATAAATAGAGAAGGTTGCTTCAAACTGTGAAGGAACCTCAGACCTTTACATTTATTCCAACTCCCATACAACCCTTTGTATTGCTTTATAAAGCTCCTTTTACAACTTTACAAACTCTTCTCTTATAAAACTCTTTATCAGCTAAATACCAGCAATAAAACCGTTTACTTCGAGAACAAACCTTTTTCGTCTTGATCCTCTTTTGTCAAACCTCCCCTTTCTTCGCATCAAGTCCGTCTCAGCTACTTACCATAGCCTCGACCTAGACTTTCCCTTGAAACCTTTGACATCCTTCGGATCGTACCTTTTTCCCATCTTGCCCTAAACCTTGATTACTTAAGGTTAAGTCAATCTTAATGTGGGTTCATGATATTACCCTGTTACAAAAGACTATCAAATCGATATCGGATTCTCAGGAGGGCATGACCAGGACCCCGGTATGCTCCTATGAAGGGTACAGATCTAGAATTGTGACTTTTGAGCTCTCGCGGACATACGACATATGGGATTAAACAGCGTTCTCACGGATTTTACCGGTTTCTGCCTGAATTTCAGAGTCGCTAAGTCCAATACAGCTGATTAAAAAGACTAAACCTGTCTTAAAGCTATGGGTAAATCCAGGGACAAGTTTCCGAGCGAGCTCAAAAGTCACATTTTTGGATCTGTACCCCTTATAAGAGCATACCGGGGTCCTGCATGACCTCAGTCAAGTTCATCAGATCGACTGTAAGTGAACTGGCACCTTGATCAAATCAAGATTGCCCATAGGAAGAGTAGACAAATACATTTCACATTGACAATTTCCATTGATTCATGAGAACAATCCGAGTAGCAAAACTTTTAAAGAGAAACTACCAAAGTTGGAAAACTATTGTCACAGTATCACTTGGTTTACAAATCAGCTGGCGTACAAAAAACAAACTGGTGCAATGAATGGCTATGATAAGCAGAGAACAAGCTGACTTCAACTTTGATCAGGAGAATGCGTAGAAGGCTCTTTTGCAGGAAAGAAAATGCTGCATGTTATGATAAGTGTTTACGTCCACATATAGCCATCCTGAACTGCAACATACGTTGATTACATTGAAATCTGCCGGATCAACAACAACCACCTCCTCCTTCACATGGGTTGCAGGTTGGGGGCTCATCAGATGGGGCCTTATGAGGTGGGGGATTATTTGGATGAGGTCCAGGATCGGAGTCACAAGTTTTTAGGAGGCTTGAGTTAGTGAGATTGGTTTTGTGTAGACAGGCATCATATCAATCAGTCGATGCACGAGCGTAGAGTAACGAGAGTTGATGCTCAAAATGTTCACTTACAATCGCTTTTCGATGATGGGAGTGAACTCTACAAATCGTCGTTGTAGGACGTCACGAGTGACACTGAGATCAAGCAAGTCAGGTGTTAGGTAAAGTTTCTGAGAGCAGTTGCAGCAACACAAAGAACGATGTTAAGGCTTTGCTCACGGTTGGCCAACTTGAACAAGGCTGGCGGGGATTGTGGCTATAAGAATAAATAGAGGATTGAGTAAGATTGAGTATGAAGGGAGACATGGATTAGTGTGGATTCACTGACCAGCTAGAACAGCAGCAATGACAACTTTGAAGAATAGCATGGCAATCTAGTAAGTTTTGGTGTGAGAGGGAATGACGGATATGTTGAAGGCGCTCTTATGACTTTTGTAATCTTACGCAAAACAGAAACTAGAGAACTCTGAACCAGTCAACCAACTAAACTTAACAAAGTCCCACGCTCGCGCATCCTCGCTCAACGCCTCGTCGAGGATGCGCGAGCGTGGGACTTTGTTAAAGTTATCAACCAACCATAAATACATCATTTGACTTTGACACGGGATGAATACTTTGTTCTATTTTTTGTCTTTAAATGAGGGAAACGAGGGAAAAGGTTGATTTTGTGATGATCCGTAGTACATTACGTAAAATCGTTAAGTATCATAACAAATTGGTATAGTTTTATCAAATAGTTGATGAAAAGAGTTGTTAATCCTATCTCAAGTGATGATGCAAGTCAGATGGATCGAGGTGCACTCCAAGGTAGTCTGAGAGTCAAAGTCTCTGAGTCTGGCCCGGGCGGAGTCTCAGCTCCTCAGGTTTGGCCTACCACCTTCAAGCACCCAAGTCCTCCAGAGACCTGAATACCCCTCAACGCGGGAGGTAGTTGAGTTATTTAAATTTTTTTAGAAAGGGAAAGGCAGAAAAAATGCAGCTTGTAGGGAGGAATCCTAGGATGCGGCGGGGAAGAAGCAAAGGATGGAATGTGAAGATTTTTTTTCTTTTCTTCAAATTACAAATCTTCCAAATTCACTCAAAGGGAGATGTGAGCCGATAGGTAGAGTAGATATGGTGAAAGGCAGTATCAGCTCCTATCCAAGACGTCGGCTCTACAACTATTGATTCATTAAATTCATCATTTGCATTTCTCTATTTTCTGTCATTGTCTCTAAAGGTATGCAATTTACCCCTCCATGACATGATGATGAGACTCCTCTCAGAGACCAGGTTACCCTCACCTTCTATGACACAAAAAGTAAAATAAATAGAAAAACGTCATAAAATTTTTATATGTTAAGATTGTGAACCTGGTATGACGGTTGATATCAGTCTATCATACCAAAAGAATTATCATTGTCATTACATATATCAAAAATCAATCAAATTGTCAAATATAAACTTTAATCAACAACCGCACTTGTTCCACCAAACATCTTCCCAAGTTCCGAAAGAGCAGTCTATAAGAAAACCCAGCCAAAAAATCAGATCAAAATCTCCAAATTTCCAACCAAAAAACAAACAAAAAGAAAATATGTATCATCACTTACTTCATAAACAGGTATTAAATATTCCATTTCAGGTCTCTTAAACCTAATCTTTTTCATCTTTTCCAAACATTCCATTCCAAGTGAATCCTTAATAGATTCTTTTAAATATCTTGCTTCTTGAAATTCAACTAAAGACCAAGCTTGACCAAATTTACCTGCTCTTGCTGTACGTCCAATCCTATGAATATATTTCTTAATATTCACTGGTGTATCATAATTTATCACGTTTTCTATTGTTGGCAAATCTAATCCTCTTGCTATTACATCTGAACAAACTAGTCTAAAGTTTCGAAGAAAAAATGAGATTGTTAGTTTAAGTTTGGGTAAAGTCATTTTTTATTGTATTTTTTTTGTTTTTGGTCGTACGGAACTTGGGATTGAAAACAAAGACTTACAAGTTTATAGATCCATTTTGAAATTCATTCAAGATTCTTTTCCTATCAATAGGTTTCAAATCACTTGAGAATAAAGCAGCAGTGCCCAACACATTCGAATTCTCACCATCCTTTATCTCATTCTCATTTGCTTCGGTTGTCGATTTTTCCATCCAACCTTTTCTCATTAATTGATATAGATTAACCAATCGAGTTGCACCTTCAACTGATTTACAAAAAATCAGCGCATTTTTGACTTCTCTAACTTTGATTAAATGAAATAAAGTTAAAGGTTTAAGTTGAGGAGTAGTCACAATCAAATGTTGCTATCGAACGAAAAAAATTAGTATGGATGATCTGCGCCATAAACTTTTCGAAACAGGAGAAGAAAGAGCAAACCTGTAAGTTAGGTGGTAAACTATATCCACTAAAATTATCGATTACTTCAACAGATGGATTTTGAACTTTGATAAACAACGGATTACGTAGTCCTAAATGGGTCAATTTAGTTGGATCACGTTTCAACGTAGCAGAAAATAATAAGATACGAAACTGATAAAAAGCTCACCGAAAAATAAAATAAAATAAAACAAACATCAATCAATCAATCAAAACAAGTTATAAAAACGAGTACTGAAAAAATGACTAACGGGGCGAGTTTTACATGGATCTTCTAGTTTAAGTAATGGTCTCCAATCAGAAGAAATTTCATTGCATTCGACCGAATCCATAAATTTTTTCAATAATGGAAGTGGTTCATTCCTAGCACTATTTAGTTCTTCTTGTTGAATCATCATTTCAGAATCCTCGTCATCATAATTAATGATTTGTTTAGAATTAGAATGGGTTTTTGAAAGTTTTTTTAATTCATATTTCAAGATTTGATAAAGCCAAGATTGATCTTTACTTAAAAGTTGATCAGCTTCATCTAAAATCTAAAATGTTTTTCTCAATTTCAGTGATCTTTGATTTTTTTGGGCGATAAGTAAACGAGATTTTCACGAACCAAGAAACATAAGTGAGATAAAGAAAATCCAGGTGTTTGATTTAAATGATCAATTAATCTACCAGGTGTAGCAATTACTACATCAACTTTACATTCCGATCTATTAAGAAAGGCAAAAAAAGGATATAAGTTCGGAATCCGCCCAATAGTTTCTCAGGTCATCTACCAGAGAAAATCATCACTTACGATGTATTAAATGGTGCATTTCCAGATAAAAGAGCTTGTTCTTGAGAAAAGGAATGTTGACCAGTAACAATAGCCAGCTAGACAAATTCCAAGAAAAACAGCCACACAAAGAGAGTTTCAGAAAGGTCTCGAATGATAACATCTCAAAGGAGTTTTCACTGACAAACCTTTAATCCAGTGCCTTTTGAAATTGATTCAAAGGTTTGTTTGACTTGTAAAACTAAATCACGTGTAGGAAGTACAATCAAAGCTCTAAGTCTGACTACAGTACGAGAGGAAAGTGTCTATAAAAAGAGAATCATAATCAGTATATGAACAATTATTTTGTCTTGTGAAGCTAATCGAATGGATGATGAGGGTTCTGAGGTATGTTTTACTTACTTCGACGATGGGAACAATATAACTTAGGGTTTTACCAGATCCAGTAGGTGCATTTATACAAATATCCGAAGGAGGATGGTTTATAGGATAAAGGATTGATGAAGGTGTGATCTTTTTATTTCGAAGCTTACCAATCAAAGCAGAAAAAACAGAAATCTGAACTAAAACAGAAGAAAAGCTTTAGTAAAAGTTCAATTTGAGTTGGTTATATTCAAAGTACGGAATCAACTGAACCTGGAAGTAAGTATTCTATACCAATCTCTTTAAGACGATTAATAATGAATTGGCTTAACGCTAATTGATCATCTTTACAATCTTTTTGATCTCCTCTAATTTGAATTTGATCCAAATTTAACTTGGTTTCATCATCTACAAGTAAAAGACTTTGATCTTCATTTAAAGAATTGGTTCCATTAGAAGAAGCAAGATTGGTAAGACCCATTGCTAATCTAGCTAATAATTGAGGATCGGGTAAAGAAGGTCGTGTAGGTGCTGGAAATCTAGGTAAAACTCCAGGTTGGGTTGGTAGATCTTCAATTATTTCTGCGATCGGATTCTCGGTTGGAATGGTTGAGGTTTCTAGTTTTCTTTTCTTTGTGGCTATTGTTTCGAGCGTCTTGTCCAAGTTTTTTGGTCGTTTTAGGGATTTCGAAGTCGGCTCTGGTGATGGTTGTTTAGATGTTTCTTTACGTTCTTGGTGGGTAAGATCGGTCTTGGATGACTCATCTTTCTTTGGAATTGGAACCTCTGATTTCGTATCACTTTCTGATTCATTATCATTATCATTATCATCATCTTCATCACAATCCGAAACTTTTCCATCCTGATTCGAAACTCCTTCCTGTGTATCAACAACAGATTCGCTTTGATCTTTTTTATTTTTAGACTTATCTAATTTTTTTCTGGCTTGTAATCTTAATTTTTTTCTTTTCAAATACTTCTTTTTACTTTTGGTTTTTTCTTTTGGCTTTTCTGCTGTTGCTAATGGAATTGCATTTGCTCCCGTCAATCCAAGTTCGATTCTTGCTTTATGTTTACGAGTTAATGGTTTTTTTGGATCTTCTTCCTCTATGATATCTTCTGCTTCTGCTTCTGCTTCTTCTGTTGGATAAGTTGTACTAAGACCAGGTTTAATCACTTGAGTAGGTATTGAGGTCACCTTCGAGTCTTGAGGATTGTCATTGTTTTCCAGCTGATAGCTTGGTCGTGGTGCGGTTTGATGAATTTGAGCTTCGATTGATTTTTCATTTGATTCTGATTTAGTTTGAGTTTTAGCTTTCAATCTTGCATTGAGTCTTGCTAAAGGATCTTGCGCTGATGTATCTGTTGTTTGATTTGTTTTATTTGAATCTGGATCGAATCGGTTTATAGAGAACATCTTGTTCAGATAGAATGTGAGAAATATTGGTAAGGGTATTGCGGTCCAGCATGCTGTTGGAACTTTTTTTCGAATGGCTTGGAGTTGCAGAAATAATCTGTGATACTTTGGATTAGTGTGACAGACGATTGACCCACTGAGTATAGAGATATGCTCTGCCATATGAACTTCGATAAAGAGATACTTTACGTGTGAAAGACATCTGTAGCGCATGTGACAGTGACAGTGATATTGATGTTGTTTCTGTGTGAATCTGTGAGTGTCAGTGAACCTTGTTTACCAATTCAATTGACAATTCCACTTTCGATCGGTCATCAACCTCAACCTCTCAATCATCATGTCCTGGTTATCAGCTCTCGGTGGTGCTGCAAGTTCTTTGATATCAAAAGGTGGTGGATTACCCAACTTACCAGCATATGGATTAGGAAACAAAGATCCTTCATACGATAATCATTCAATTTGGACTTTATACGATGGAATCAAACGGGATGATAATAGCAATGTTTCAATTTTTATTTACGATACAAATCAACCTTCAAATTCATTTATTAGTTCAAAAGATAAAAAAGTGATACTTGGTTTTGCAAAGAACGCATTGAAGAAACTGAAGACCTTAAGACATCCTGATATTTTGAAATTTTTAGATGGAACTGAAACTCCAACGGCTGTTTATATTATTACTGAAAAATCCACTTCACTTTCTGCTAGATTAGATATCAATAATGGAATCGTAAAGAAATCTAATGCTTCAGATGTAGAATGGAAGATTTGGGGATTAAGTAGAATTGTGGTAAGTTTTTGAAATTTCTCCAGGAATTATACAAAGTTTTTGATTTTGATATGAAAGATTGATTGAATATATTTTGTTTGAAGTCTGCTTTGAAATTTATTAACGGTCCAGGTAGTTCTACACATGGAAATTTAAGACCTTCTTCAATCTTTGTTACTCAATCTGGTGAATGGAAATTATCAGGTTTTGAAGTTTTGAGTAGTCCAAAGGATCCTCAACCTATGCTTTATGTAAATATTCTCTCATCATTTCCTTTAAATCTGACCCTTCAATGGTGCTTTACTAACGTCAATGTTTTTATCTCTTATAATCCAGTCACTCGGTGGTTTGCTTCCTGATTCTTCACGATATGCAAGCCCAGAGACACAAAAGTCAGGATACGATGTTTTGAAAGAGTATGCTTTTATTTCACTGTACTTTTAGCTTCATGATCAGGACGATAGCTCACAATCATTCGTCACGCCCAATCAATTCCGCTGTAGCTTAGACCCTGCTTGCCTAGACTCCTACCAATTATATCTATTAATGCAAACTCTCTTCAATGATGTCATTCCAACTTCCGAAGGTCCATCCCAACAACGAGGATCAATCCCTCCAGCACTCTTTGCAGTTGCTAGAAGATTAGCTTCTGCAAATCCTTCTTCTCGTCTTAAATCAGAAGCCTTTTGGGAAATTGGATTTGGATCGGGAGAAAGTGGAGGAGGAGGAGCAGGTGGTTTTTTCCGAGAAAATCGTTTGATTAAAGTTTGTGAAGGATTAGAAGGATTTTCATTGGCAAGTCAAGGTGAAAGATCTAGTTTGATGAGATCAATTAAAGATTCGGCGGATTCTTTACCACCTGAATTTCTCAAGTTTAGGGTTCTTCCTTCACTTTTACAATCTTTTGATCATAGTGCTGGTATGTCTTCAGTTCTTTTCAGATGCCAATCCTGATATGGCCTGCGAAATGCATATATACTGACTCGGTACTATGATTCATACAGATGGACCAACACTCTTACCATTGGCAATTTCGATTTCTTCATCACTTAATCAGGCCGAATTTTCTTCTATTTTACTTCAACCATTGATTAAACTTTTCGCTAGTCCAGATAGAGCCATTCGATTATCATTGCTTGAATTATTGCCGCAATATGTTGAAAAATTAGATAGATCAGTAGTAGTAGATAAAATTTGGCCAAATTTACTTACAGGTTTCGCTGATACTGTACCTTTGATAAGAGAAGCTACTGTGAAGAGTATGTTAGTATTGGCTCCAAAGGTACGATCTATCTTGGTAATCTTTGTCTAAAGAATGTATGACTTGATTACTATTCCATGTCCCTTTATATGGTCGTATATGTCCTTACCTTTTGCTCATCTTTCAAAAATTGTTTTACGTTTGGAATTCAGTTATCTGAACGAATCTTGAATAACGACTTACTACGACATCTAGCCAAAACTCAAGTAGATGTAGAAGCAGGTATCCGAACCAATACATGTATCCTCTTAGGCCGACTCTCAAAATCACTATCACTCACCACATGTAGAAAAGTCTTGATACCAGCTTTTACACGTAGTTTAAGAGATCCATTTACACCCGCTAGAATTGCAGGTTTGATGGCTTTAATGGCAACAGTTGAGTATTATGAAAATGAAGATTTAGCTGGAAAAGTTATACCTGGAATGGGAATTTGTTTGTTGGATAGAGAAAAATCGGTTCGAGATCAAGCTTTTAAGGCTTTAGATATGTTTGTTGAACGGGTTAGAAAAGCTGCTGCTGAGATGGTAAGTTTCAAAATCAATTTCATTTCAGTCTTGAGAACCCAAATACTGACTCGATCACTTTTTGGTAATTGATAGCCGGATACAGTGGTAACAAGTCCATCAAATGGTGATTCCAACTTCCCGAGTATTAGTTCTGCTACGGCTTCTCAACCAGGTTTGGCAATGAGTGCTGCAGGTGCTGCAGGTGCATTAGCAGGATGGGCGTTTAGTTCAGTTAGTAAAAAATTAACTTCGACTGAAATGTCAACATCGATTATAGATAAAGGAGGAGTATCATTAGAGAGTCTTAGTTTATCACAAAATGGACTTCAAGCTAGTGGGAATAATTCAACTTTAAATCCTAAACCTTTACATCCTTCTACGACGACAATGTTACGGTCTGAATCTTCTAATGTGGCTAAAGCTTTTAGTTTAGGTTCTAGTACAAATACATTGGGTAATGAGACTAAAACAAATGCAACATGGGGTGATGGAGATTTGATGGATGTTGAAGCTGATGTAGATGATTGGTCTACATTTGAAACGGGTCCACCAACTCACGATCCAAGTTTTGTACCACTACCATCGACGATTTCGAAGACTTCAAAATTGACGACCAAGACTTCTAAAAATAATACGGGGACTAAAGAAAAGTTGAGACTTACGAAACCTGGGAATGGAGTTAAATTGAGTAATGCTGCTTCTCTGGTTGCAGCACTTGAAGCAGATCAAGAACTTGAAGATTCATGGGGAGTCGAAGTAGAAGAATCAGAACCAACCAATACCAAATCAATTGAAAATCAATGGGATAATTTTGATGATGAATCTATGACTTCTCCGGTTGGAAAAGGATCGAGTATGGGTTCAAAAGTGGTCAGTTCAAAGGATGATAAAGCTGCACAGATGGCTAAGATGAGAGAAGAGAGAAGGGCTAAGATGGCGGCTTTGAAGGCTAAGAAAGCAGGAGGTACTTAGAAGCAGGATGTGTGGAGGAGTGAAAAGATTCATTTCGGACTAATGGTTTCTTAAGGTTCCTTTGGGATTCAGAGTTTGAATTTTGATGAGTCTGAGATGATCAAAATTTAAAACTTTGTAAATTCTTCATGTTTTAAATTTCTTTTGTCATTTCATCTCATGATTTTAATCAGATCTTGTATTTATTTTTTATACTTTTGCATTTCATTATGTGATTAGGTATTGTCAATAAAATGTATTTCATGATTGTTTAGTTTGGGAATTTTTATTTGCATGATTCTTCATTTTGGTTTCTTGATACAGATTAAAATAGGATGATATGAATTGCAGAGAATGTTAAAAAAGAAGAATGGAAAAATGATGGTTGCATACTACAGTGCATTCCAATTATCTTGCAGAACTTTCCATATTTTTGCAACCACAGTGCATATATTGACCCCAATTTTGGTCTAAAACTGGCAGGTAATAGTATTGAAACAGTGACCTTGAGCAAAACTAATAATATTGTCAACTTTTCTCCAGTGCACTTGATGCTTTGCCAAGATGAAAGCCTTGTTTTGGCTCTATAATCCGCATACAAGAATCAGTTGTGTGTCTTTAAGAATGGACAAGTTACAACAATAGCTGTACACAGCAGGAAACATAGAATAGCTTAGACCTCATTACTTGCCTTTAGAGCCTTGATAAGCATTATAGACACAGTTTTTGGCTTTCATGAATTGCAGGTATTGGATCAATTGAACAAAAATTCTCATACCTGTGGGTATCTGATGTTTTTCCCCCAAATCTTGCTAGTTTTAGACATAAGTGGAGTTCCTGACATGATATTCCCTGTGATCATTTTTCTTCAGGCCATCTTCAAAAACAAGGTAAAAATATGCAAAAATATGCAAGATGATCAGAGTGCACACGCAGAGTCTATTTATTTTTTCAAATTTCTCTGACCCCTGATGTACCACTGGGAGTTTTCTACATTTCTTGTTTTCTAAACTCACTGATGTATTAATGATTTGGCCTGATGTACATATGTGGCAAACTTTCTTGAAGTAAAACTCATATTTAGATTTCAACAAGGGGTGTGGATATTACCAAGTGATAGCAAGAGTCAGACAACCACACAAAAGCCTTTAACCTCCTACATAGCCTCCATCATAGCTATCCTCACATCAAGATCAATATCTAATGGTGTCCTGCAAGTGTTTATCTTTTGAAAAAGGATCGGCCATATAAAGTTTTAAAACATAAAACGCTTGCGAGCAAGTTTAATTCGATTTGATTGTTTTGATGTATAAGACCATATAATTTCTACAAAGGGATATTCACGCTTGATTCCTTGAAGTATTTCTCCAGATTCCACATGACGATTAGACTTGATTTGCAACGGAGTAGAGAATTCAACCGCTACCTGTAGTTTTGTATCAAATCCATCGGTATCGATTCAAGAGATCAGGAAAATGAGCACTTCCCAAAAAAGAGTTTATCTTACAAACAATTCAATTAACACAATCATCAGAAAAATAAAACAAACTTTCGTATGACAAGATGAAGAGTAAAGTTCTATAGTTGAAATAGGAAAAAGTCCTCAATTATCTTCATTATCACTATCTGATTCTGATTCATTGGTTCCTTGTTTGTTTCCTGCCATATTCATTTCTTTTATCAAGACTGCTGCTCCTTCATTTGTTGTAATTTCTCCTTCTGCTTGCATCCTCCTTCCTATAGATTTTGACAACACAAAAGAATAAATGATTCGAATTTGAGGTGATTTCGAAAAATCGATTGATAAAATGAACGTACTGATCAAGGTTGCAAATGCTGCTTGAGTCACAGGTTCTAGTTTTGACATCTTTTTTAATAAATCTCTTTTAAGATCCCAATTTGGTTTCTTCGGTTGAATTTTAGTCAAGTCCTAAAACCCAAAAAAAGGGAAACAAATCAAATGTGTTTAGAATCACTTCGGAACCAGATGCATGAATGAATGCGAATTGAAGAACGAACCAATTCACCAGATCTGCGAATCTCATCTTCAATTCTAACTTGTTCCATTACATCTTTCACTCTTTCTTCTACTGTATCAGTTTGATTACTTGGATCATGTCTTCTAGGTCCTTGTATAGTAGGATCATAATTTCGAAATCTAAATTCTAACTTTCTTTTTCCAAATATCCAAAAGAAAAAACAATCAATAATTTGACCACGAAATCACGTTTTTATTTCAAGTTCGTTTTCAAGGAATCGGATGTTCTTTTTTTATTGCTTACCTTGCTCGTTTATTGGCTTCTGTTTCTGAATTTTGATCATTTGTTTCGATTGGGTTCGTTGATTCTGCTTTCCGTTTTGCTAGTGCTTTTAGTTTTTCCTTTCTCGCTATTGCTTGTTCTGATAATGAGTTCATTCTCGATTGTTGTTGTTGATTCGATATTGATGGTTGTTGTGGAATTGAAAGTTCAAAATTGACGATTTCGATCAAAGTGGTCCATGTCACTCGATTCCTTCTGGTTGACATGCGATGGTACACCTGATTGTAGCATATTGCTCCAGTGATAGTCTTATACTCTAACCGCCCCCTCTCAGCCCCTCTCTATCTTCCACTTCCAAGTTTCAATCATCCAGTTCATCCTTCACACTCCCCGCTTCATGATCGTGCTTACGTGGAATACACTTTTCAAACACGATCACATCTGATTACATATCCTTATCATCTCCGTTTATTCTACTGTATATCAATTGTCAACATGGTATAAGATAAGCAATATGTAACAGCATTTCAACCTTGATTGTCCCCTAAGGCTAGACCAAGGCCATCCAAGCGAAAATGAAAATTCCTCATTTCTTTATACAAAGTTTACTTTCATTTGGTCAATTGATACAGGCCGAGTTCAGCAAAAGTGCTTCCAATTTTGATTTAAGATCCATAAACTATGCCACAATTCCAACAAAGAATAGAGATGGAAGAATGATCAATTTCTGTAGATATGTTAAGCCTTCAAATGGTATGCCAACTATCATCCATCTCTATTACTTTGAAGATATGGAATCTATTGACTAAGTACCAGGGAGAAATAGTTAACAATGATCAAAAGTCAAGAATTGTTACAAACTTTCAAAGTAAACCCAAGAATTCGAACATCAAATGCAAAGCCAATAGTCAAAATTCTTCGGCGCAACGTGCAATCGAATTAATTGATAATTTAAATGGGAGGCACCGCATTTTTGATAAAGAAGAGGATGGTATGATACATGGTATGAAAGAGCTATTCTTATTATGTCCCAAATGTCGAGAAGTGTTTTGCTGACATTTTTTATTTGATTGGATAATGGTGAATCTATATTTTAAAGATGATGATCTAAAAGATGTCAATGATAAGATCCATAGCTTAGGTGAAATGATAATCAATTATCACCAATCTCCTTCGATTGAATCTGGAATTCAAAATGAATATTCCACGGAAAAAGAAGCCATTGATAAGATAGTGAAGTACGTTAAGGACTTCGAATACACTCAGGATTTAATCACTAGGAACGCATTAGAAATCTTGTATCAAATCTTCCAACTTCCTGGTTTGAAAAAGGACCTTGGCAGGGGAGCTTTGATGAATATATTTTCGGATCCTTCTACTGGGGATAGGAATCTGAAGATATATATGGAAATAAGTTTGTTTATTTTACTTATGCAATTTCTTACTTTCATTGCTGTTTGAAAAATTGGGAGTCTAAGAATATTATACTTTGTTGTCTTTTATCAGTACAAAAGCATGCTCGGGAGGAATTTAAAGATTGTAAGATATGCTCTTCCATTTAAGATGATGATAAAAATTAAAAAATATCCGAATTCAATATTTTGGCAAAAATAACAGTGAATATCAAAATAACTGAATCTTTATCTTACAAAGATGATCCAGCTGATGTTATCAGCACAAAATCTTGGAAAGATATTCAAAATGGAACTCACAATGAAAAAGAACTATTAGCTCTTATGGAAAATATAATTTCAAAAAGAATTGAGCAAATTTCATCACATCAAGTTGATAAATTAACAAATTCTGATCATCTGATCAAGACTCTTTTGATCATCATCAAATCCTCCAAATCTGAAAAGATTAATCTTTTTGATAAACTTTACCTTTTTTCTAGTCCTGAAGTTTTCTTAAAGACTGAAGATAGGCTGGGCCTATTATTCTCATTAGGTGTGGATACCTTTCAGTGTTGATTGTGTGTGCTCAAAATGTTGAGGTCTAAATATTTTCACTATGGATGCTTTTTAGAGGATAAAGTCTTTGCTCAAGAGGCCTGCAGGGGATTTGCCAGTAATTATCCTCTTCTAAAAGATCGTTATCAAACTTTGGGTTAGTGAACTTATCTCTTCCTATAGAACCTGCTCAAAAAATACTCTACTGATTTTGATGATATACAATCTCCAGTGACAAGAGGCGCAAGGGCTAACCTTTCAAATTGTGAGTGTGTTTTCAATCTCTATCAAATCCCATGATCAAAAGTTCTATAAATCATTTTCCAACATAAGCGCTAATGTGACAATTCCTCATCTCAGGTTTCTGGGAATACATGATCAATTCTAAAACTGGCAATAAATTGATCAAAACTTCTAATACAGACGATCCAGAATTGATAGAAGCATATGAATTGCTGAATTTAAGTTCAGATGCAATAAAAATTGATAAAGCTTTGGAGACTTTAAACAGATTCTCACAAGAAGCTTTTGATAAGCCAAAGGAATGGATTAAAGATAGCTTCAAATCAATCATCAATAAATTATATTTGTATGGAATATCAATAAAGAAACTTCAAAATAATCAAAGAGATGTTAGATATATCAAAGTTTTGAAAATCTTGAAAGATCTTTCAGAGAGAGAAAAAGAAAATTTAGAAAATCAGATATATGTAACAGAAGCTCTCAAGGCTCTAGAACTGATCTCATTTGATAACCAGAAACCCTTTGGAAGTCTCCCTTTCGCACCACCAGAGATGACGGATCCATCTCTTTCATTATATTCTTATCGATTTAATTGGCATATCAATATTGTTTTGACTGATTTGAAGCATTACCCACTTGCCTGGATTCCAGAAGGTTTTGGTAAGTAAGGTTGATACATATTGAAAAACCTAAGTTAGTAACTGATTTCAAAGGTTATATGAATGATCAAAGCACCCTATGCTTATTTACGCAAAATAAAAAGTTATGAAACTGCAAAAATGAGAAAAATGATGGAAAAAATCATAAATGATGAATCAACAATGGATGAAAGATATGAAAACTTAGAAGAATTGAAACATTCAATTTCTAATCATGAACCATTACCAATCTTAAATCCACCCAAAAGAATTTGGACTCAATTAAATTGGAGAAGGATTTTATTTTATAGTATCTGTGTTAGAAAAGCTTTAGAAGATAAAGAAAAACATAATGTTGATTTTTTGATTCATATATTAGGTGATCTTGAAGATCTTACCAATACTCCTTTCTTGATCACTAATCAAATTGCTTATATGTCATTAGAAAAGATGAGGAATTTTATTGCTTGTTCTTCATTTCTCAATTCTGTAGAACAAAAAGATTTGTTAAGGTTACACTTTTCTCATTATTCTGATCTCACTTTTGATTCTCTTGTCACAAAAGAAGATTCACAGTAGCAATGTTTGCAGGTGATGGAGTTCTTTATGATGTGACTTATAGGTTGAGGTTTCATCATTGTCTTTGTTTGAATGATTTACTTATTGTACTTTGAAGAACATCAAAGACATTCAAATTGGAAACTACTGAATGTAATCAATCATGGGCCCCTTGTGATTTCCCAACAAACTATCATGCCTGAATGATAGTCATCAGTAATTATTCAACTTGCTTTAAATGACAAGACACAACTTGATCACAAGTTTATCATCATTCCCTATACTTGAATCATTGGAACAACCAGGGGGCAGGAAACTAACTGAGTTAGCCAGCCAGGGCTTGGTGCTTAAATTTGCTATATTGATCAGGATGGGGCTGGATGGGGGCACGGAAAACCATACCAATAGGCGCGCCCCAAAATCTGAAAAGGTGGCTGGGACAGGGCGGTGCATCTGAAGGGCTCGCATTTACCGACGTGAATTTTTTACAAGTAGGCACCAAAATCCAATTCAAAATGATTGAATGAAAACAAAGAACTCTGAGATGAACGAATCTAAACGAATTAATAAATAAGCTCTATATAAGAAGAAAAAAAGATAATGCTATATATGTGTTGATTCAATCACAATCAGAATGACCAGTATAGTTTTCAATCTTACTACGAACCGATTCTAAGATAGTCCACATAATTCCATGTTGACAAAAACTACGAAAAGCCGAAATACTTAAACCAGAATAAAGTTTAGTGAACCCATCTTGTTTAACCAAACTTTTGAAAATTGTAGAAGCTGATTGTCTTGCATGAGTATTGGCTAAAGCATCCCTTTGAATTCTACTTTTTACCAAATCTAATGGATAGATAAGAAACTGGAGAAATACGTTTCTATGAGTTAGTCTGTGATACCATTTAAAACAATCTGATTACATTTTACTTACCCAACTGGCAACACCGCACGTAGATCCGCACACAAATGGAATTAAGGCAGGTGGTAAGACGATTTGCCGTGAGTGAGATGGTAAGTTTTCATTTTGCAATCGTTGCTCAGCAATCAACCTCATCGAATCATAACCCATAAAATAAAGTCCTGTTCCAATTGTATCCCTTAGACAATGTAAATTAAAGCCAAAATATAAGCCCCGAACTATTAAAATACAAAAAAGGCAAACAAGCACCATAGTGGAAAAGGTTAGTAAGCTATCTTTTTGAATATGCGGGAATTGAGGTGGGAGAAATGAAGTTATTTGGATGGAGATCCTTACCTCCATGTGCTCTAATAATTTCCATAGCGCCTTGCCATGTACTCAAATTTCTGATGGCCCTACCCTGTTTTTCACTAAAAAAAGATCTATCAATAATTAGAAAATCATTTTTCAAGATTCCAACAAATAAAAATGACTAACGCAATTGCAGATTCTAATTGGGCACGAATTTTCACTAATTCAAAAGCGCAAGAGCCAATCGAAATCATTAATCCAGAAGCAGCACCTCCAGTAAATCCTGAAATCGCCTTATGAGACACAATAGGTTGTGAAAATAGGTTTTGTTTTTCGAATGTTTCTTTTGTTTTATTGTATATCGTAAAACTGGTTGTACGAACTACTGTGATCTTGTTTTTTCATTGAATTAGAAACGGATCGAGAAGAGAGAGGGACAATATAAATCAGTTCCTAATTAAATTTTTATCAAAGTGGAAGGTTTATTTGGCTTTGAAGAGATCTTGCCATACTAGGATCCGATCGATGACTTTGTGTCACGCTTTTTCGAAACTTGTGAATCTTTTGAAGATCCTGTTCTCTTAGGCACTAACCGTCAACATAGGAATCGCTATTCCTCGATAAAATCCTCTGGTCCCTTCTTGAGCATAAGTTTTCTTAACACAATCTAATACGGAGTTATATCGATTAACTTGTAATCTGGATTTGATAGAATCGAGAGGAAAACCAGTGACAGTTGCACATATCGATGCCACGGCTGCTGAGACAGTAGTTCGATGATCTAGATAAAAGAATTTGTTCTAGTTCTAGTAAAGCTTGAAGAGGAAGAGAATGATGTCTTACTGTAAAGATATTCTGATGTTCTATGACCATAAACCGAACCTATCGAATTACTTTCCATCTTGTATGAGGCAACATTCACGTTCCTTTGAGTTTAAGTCGTTCTTGAATTGTTTCTTTGATTGATGAATTGATTTGATACCAGAAAGTTGAACTTCATGGCATCAAACTTGTAGGTGCAATACAGCCTTTCTCACTCAAACTCTTGGCGATACCACAACGACCCGGATCAAGCTGCAAAGATTACTCGGATCTCCTCAGACCTGCATGGCCGTTGGAGCCGGATCTCAATAGACCGGGGAGCGCATGTGTACCGTATGCATCGTTTTGGTCGGCCAACTTTTACTTTCGCCCTCTACAAACTTCTCCATGAACCATCTCTCCCCATCGTTAGTTATCAAAAATGCGAATCATGACATATGCCGTTCGACAAGCACTTGCTGCAAACTCTCCAGATCCCGAACCTGATCAAGGTTCATCTAGCAGTGGTTCAACTCAAGCTAGCGAGGTTGGACAACATTTAATCCCTTGTGCTGGGTCTCCGACTAAAACTCGTCAACGCCCTGCTCAGGCAGAAGCAGATTCACATAGGGATAAACGTATACGGACTATTAATTCTAGGACGAGTGCTTCTGGTGGGGTTAAGTTGCAGTATTGCGGTCGCGAGTCTTTACAAGGTGAAATGGCCAAATGTAAGTATATATAGATCCATCTCGAGCGCATCTTCTCCCATATCATTGAATTGATTAATTTTCTTAAATTGTGTGTTCGAAAATTTTCATATAATAGATTGGTACCAACGTAATCGACTTTTTTGGAGATTTGATGAAGGAATTAAATTGGATCATCAATCTTGGTATAGTGTAACACCAGAAGGAATTGCAAGACAAATTGCTGAAAGATGTCGGTTGGTTTTGGTTTATCATCAACATCATTCTTTTTCTTATATGATTTGTAGCATGTTGATAATCTAACCTTGATTTAATTTTCTCTAGTACCAAGGTGATTGTTGATGCTTTTTGTGGTGCTGGTGGCAATGCTATCCAATTCGCATCTACATCAGATAGAGGTAATTTACAACTATTTTTTTTTTGAAAACTATGATATTGAGAGAAGAATAAACAATCTAATTCTTTCAACTTTTTGGTTTCAGTCATAGCCATAGATATTGATCCCAACAAAATCGCTCTAGCTGAACATAACGCAACTGTTTATGGAGTAGAAGATAAGATTGAGTTCATATGCGCAGATTTTATTGAATGGATTCAGAATCAAGAGAAAGGTTCTGTAGACGTGATCTTCTTATCACCTCCGTATGTGAAATTTCTCTTATCTTGTAGTGCATGAGACAAATCAACTGACAGGCTTGACTTGTATTTGCCTAAAGATGGGGAGGAGTAGATTACCTTTCTTTCAATTCACCAAACAAATCTCATAATCAATCAAAACCAAGCGAACCAACTGGATTCTATCCACTAACAGAACTCCAACCCATCCCAGGAAAAGAACTTTTCTCAATCACAAGTAAAGTAACCCCTAATATAGCATTCTATCTACCAAGGAATCTTGATGTGGATCAGGTGGCTGACCTTGTGGATCAGGATGTGAAAATTGAAGTTGAAGAAGCTTGGATGACTTCAAAGTGTAAAGCTGTAACTGTCTATTTTGGTGATTTGGTGGCTAAGACTGTCACTTGATTACATCATATCTTTTTTTCAATATTTTTGGATGAGATTCACAAATAACATTACAAGAAGTTGATCAAGGAATAACAAAGGTTTTTTTCACTGGGATTTGAGTTTGTCCCTATACCCATGGATAGGCATACCCATTACATTTCTACTAAGACTCATAGATGTGTACATCTACCTACATAGTTCCTGTGCTCTAGCCACAAATGACCAAAAGTCAACACCAGTGGTTCTTTCATGGAAACCCTGTCAATTGAGAAAGTGAGCTCCTTCTTGAAAACCATCTGGAGGTGTTTAAGGAGTTGTAAATGCTACTTGATATTAGAAAAGGACAGAAAAGAGACAAAATGTGGCATGTAGACTGAAAGAATTTACAATAACATGCAAATTCTCATGTTGCAGAACATAATCTGAAATTCCAAGTACAACCATTTCATTACATGTTGGACATTGAGAAAAAATGTAGACATTCAAATTTCAGTTTTTAACTGTATTTAAGGACTGCAAAGACTGTATTTTTTGGTTTTCAGTGGTAAACTTTGAAGTTTAATCTGCTTTAAGGTAGTAAAACACTTGGTTAATTTATTCTCAATGTCCAACATATGTTGAAATGGTTGTAGTTTACAAAATGACACTACAAAAAATAGTGCAGAAAACATAAACATTAGGGGTACACAAACATCAAAAACTCATATGAAAAACCTGTTCAAACTCATTTCAATTTCAAGATTTCCCTGCAAAAACCCAAAATTCAAATGGGTTGGGACAAGTTTTTCATGTGTGTTTATCATACGGGTTTTTGATGTTTGTGTACCTTTATTGATACAGTCATATCTCTGAAATGTGGTGGGCTTGGTGGGGCTTGGTGGTCACCTTTTGTACCGGATAGCAGAGCTTACCAGATTCAAGAGTCAAAATCCTTGCTGGGAGATCAAATTGGTGGACAATATTTTGAGTGTATACAAAAATATTGAGAGGCTAGGACAAGAGCAAAAAATACAAAAAGATATGCACATTATTCCTGGTGTTGAGAAATTCAATCTGAGTTTTTTATTTTATTTTTAGAGTGTACAGTCAATCCCAGAATTATTGGAAAAATCAAAAATCTTGACTGTAGGGCTGGGTCCGTGCGCAGAGCGGTAACACAGAGATAAGAGGTCAGACTTTTGACAGCTATCTCAAGACAAACATCCTATCTTTCCATTGTACCTCGATGACCACCCTACTCCCTTGCCAATGGCCACATGGCTAAAGACTTGAACACATGATTTCATGGTGAAGGGATTGTGAACATGAGCTGAGGATATGAGGAAGGGTGGCATGGAGAGGACAAAAGGGAGTTGAGGTTGGTGAAGGGGACACCGACCTCCACTCGACAGCTGCCATGACTTTTTCCATGACACATGTCATCAAAAAGTCACCTCCTCGGGACCCTGACCTCAGCTCAAAAATCTTGGATATTTCCAACATTTCTGGGAACAACTGTATATTGATGAATGAAAAATCTCCATGATCATCAGATCTCCACCTGTGTCAGATGCCAAAATTTGGCTCCTCAGATCAACACTACCACCTTTACTGTACTATTCACAGTAAAGTATTGGTATTGTATCTTTTCCACAGTATCCTACACCTAATGCTTAGTCTCTGTATTGGCTATGATGTACTTGCCGGTCCATGACATAGTATTGTCACATACAATACTGCATCCAGTATAGTACCACAATGGTCAATACTACACTACGGTCCAATCAGGACATCCGCCGGATGTCCTGTCTCGCGACATCCAACGGAGATCCGCCCGATCTCCGTTGATTATCCTCACAGAGGAGGTCGCGCGGATGAGATCAAGGATATTGGCGCAATATCCTTGCTTTAGGTTCCGTAATTGCTGAGAGACCTCTTTGAACGGACTAAAATACATTCAAATGGTTCAATTGGTTTGGACTGTTTTTGAATTGGGTTCTGGGTGCAGGAACCAATATCGCAACCACTGCGCAACGCAACACATTTTGACCATATCACATTGTGCTGCGCTTTCTGCGCAATATTACGCTGCGAAATAGACCGCAATGGTACATGTTTTATTTCATCTTTGGGTTGTGGTGCGGAACAAACACAATATTTCCGCAATTTCTGCGCATTGGGGCACAATATTGCGGAAAAACACAATATTGTGGGAAATATTGCGGATACTTTTGGATTGAATTCCGCTGAGCAAGAGGAGAGGCAAACAAAAAATAAAGAAATAAACAAACTAAAACCAACTTAGGTTGGTTTGGAAAAAGAAACCATGAAAGAAAGGAATAGAATGTTAAAGAAGGAATCGACGAGATAAAAAAAACTCACCCTTTATCAAGACTGACAAATCGAATCAATATCCAACCACTTTTTGGCCGTAGGTGAAGATTCTTCCAAGGGTTGTTCAACTGGTTGAGTGTTTCAACACTCGACCAAGCGCCACCTTCCATATTGGGAGAGTCGTAGGTGGAGGTGTTGAAGCAATGGATACGTGGGGTGAGGTGTTGAACAGAGGGATATGTTGCTGTCTGGTTGAGGGTTTTACTCCGCAATATATCGGATATAGCGGAGTATACCGAAGTTGTGCTGCGGATGCCCAACAACCCGGTTTTTCAGCCCTGGGTTGCGGTGCGCTGGCCCCGCTATATATTGCGGGGTCATTGCGTGTCACAAAACCGCTGCGCAACCGCACCACAACCGCTATAAGTTGTGGAGCGGTTGTGATATTGTCTGGTATGATAATGTTGAATATGTACAGTGATTGTGTATTCCTTGTGCTCAGTAGCACCCCTTTGACTTTGTGATGGCCCTCTACGCTGACATCAACCTTTCTGGCTGTATATTAGGAGACTACACCAATAATTTTGGATCTTCAAACAATAAAGCCTTATTTATTGCCCTCCATATATACTTGAGTTTTATTGCCACAAGAAGGAAACCCCTTGACCAATCCATTCACAGTGGTTATTAAAGTAAGTGCTTACACTCAGGCCCCAGCTGATGCGTTCAATCTCACAAGATCTACCCGATCATATGTATTGAATGCTTTTGAATAATGCTATGGAGTGGGTACAGTCAAACCCGCGCAAATGCATAATCAGCCAATTTGCATAGGGCTTGGGTTCCATCAAGCTGGTGCGGGCCAAAATCCAAACTATTGCATAATTTAGTAATGCATAGTGTGTTGCCAAAAAAATCCGGATGTTGGTGGGCATAATGCATGGAGATCCGTGGCCGGCCCTGGACTTGCGGGGTTCTGGAAGCACAAATTTTCATTGGAGCAGTTGTACATTCACATTTTTGTCTGCTTCATAATGCATAACTCTATGCATTATGACATTTTTGTTCTCATAATGCATAAATGTATGTATTATGACCATAATGCATAGAGTTATGCATTATCACAAAGCCCGTTAAAATGAATAACCGGTCAAAATGCATAGAAAAAACCGTTGCCCCAATTTATGCATTTGCGCGGGTTTGACTGTAGCAGGCTCTTTGCTGCCTATTCCAAAACAAAATATGAAGCTTTGCAATTGAACAGGCTTTTCCCATACTCAAATTCTGGCTGGATTATCTCTTCTTGACTTTTGATACTGTATGCTTCCTTCAAGTGTGTAAATCCAGTTTTCACGCCTTCAAAATTGACTCAAATATTCAATAATGATCACCTTCCAAAATTCTTGGATAATCAAACATTTGAAAACTCAAGAGATTGATCAAGCTCATTGCAAGAGGGTACTTCGTCACAAGATTCAGTTTTAAGAAACAGTACACAACCTTTCATTCAATGACAAACCTCACAAGAGATTTAACACCAGGTGATTGAATCTCAGAATCAACAAAATTATATCTTGAGATCAAATCCTTTAGCATTCTTTTCCATCTTATCATTCTTTTTCTGTTCTCCTTTATAAAGACATCCAACTTTGAAAGCACTTGCAAACATGAGATCTTTACTTTGGAAAATTGGTCCACATCTTCAAGCCATCTGGTCAAGATGATGGCTTCAAACAAAATCATGAATGGTTCAACCTCAAAGGTATAACAAGGAAATGCTCCTCAAAGTGCTGGCTTCACGTCAATATCCGCAATTTACATCTTGAGCTTGATCAACTCTCTTTCTGAAAGAAAGATAACATACTCTTGAATCAATCAAACTTTAACCCCTTTGGTGGAATTCAAGAGTATAAGACTACCCACTTCTCTTGACCATACCAATATGACTAGTCTTATGACTATCATTGGCTTTGTCATGAATCTTACAAGTTGATAATGATTTAAAGAAGCCATAAACATTATGCAGAGTTGAGTTCTGGGGTTTACTCAAAGTTCTCTTTCCATCATGCTTTCAAATGATTTTACTCTACCGTGATTGAAATCTGAATCAATATGCGGGGTCTGAGTTATCAGGATGTTGTGGGATTGGAGATGCTGAGGGACGAAAGTGTGAAGGTGAATTTGCTTGATGTGGGCTAGGGCTCGGATGGCGTGTTTGACTCAGTGTGATCACTTGCTTAACCCCATAGGCTACACGTCTCACTTATGGCTAACCAAAGGCTGAGAAAAATTGACCATTCGCTTTGTTCGGTGATTGGTCAATTTTATCAATTCATGGCCTTCTGGTAGAACTGTCCAATCTTCGTCTTCTCATTTCGATTTAGCTCATCTTGATCGGTATCACCGCACCTACCAGCCAGAATTCTCAGTGGGAAGAGTTTGATTTGACCGGATCGACTCAAACTTAGAAAGTTGAGAGCACTTCGCCAACTCACAGCGTACGAGTTTCTGCTGAGCCATGCTTGCGGTGCACCAGTTCGATTTTGGGATTCAAATCTCAAGATCATTGCTCCGACGATTGATATTTAATTCAAAAACTTAAATTTGATTTCAAGATCCTGCGCCAGGGGCATAGCATTTGAAGGATCTTTCTATCCTGTAGACGATGTTTTGTACAATAGAGAAATACTTACCTAATGGGCTCG